TTTGAGTATACTTGTGTTGTTATTTCCTTCACATACAATGAGCACGGCACCAGACAGCATTTGTGTCTACTATAATATTTGGTGTCTACTATAAAACTGATTAGAGAAAACATGAGGTGAAGTATAGTCTGTTATATTTAATTCTATGATTGTTCTTTTCTTTCTGAAGGTACCAACTTGTCCTCTTCTTTCCTAATAATATAGTTTCACTGGATGCTCAGTATTGACAGTCCTTTGCACTCCACATTTGCAAATGTTCGAGCCACTTCCTTTTGGCCTCCATGTTTTCAGATGAGAAATCTTCTGTCATTCTAACTTGTTTTTCTTCATAAATGGTTCACTGTTTCTATAATGAATTGCTCTTTTCTGATTGTTTTGATATTTTGTAATTTTGCCTTCAATTTTTAGAAATTTAATTACTGCATGTCTTGGTGTGGATTTCCTTAGTTCTATTCAATCTGCAATTTGTTCAATATTTTTTGAAACTAGATTTTTTAAATATATTTGACAAGATTTGGAAAAGTTTCAATTAGTAATTTTTTTAGCATTTTCAGTTTTATAGCCTTTCATTTTTTCTGGAACTCTGATGATAAAAATGCTACATCATTTTTATTGTCCCTCATAATACAAGGCTCTGGTTTTTAGTCTATTTTATGTTAGTTTGATTGAATAAATTCTGTTATTCTTTCTCCAAGCTCATGGATTTTAGCTGTTTTCTCTACAGTACTATTGTAAAAATCCTGGAAGTCTTTTTAAATATTTATTATATTTTACAGTTACATATTTTCATTTAATTCTTTGTCATCCCTCTTTTTCTTTTTTGGCATTTTCTATTATATTATTTGGTTCGAGGGAATTTGCAGTTGATTTTGAAGTGTTTTTATGATAGCCTATTTAAAATTCTAGTCATATAATCTAACATTTGATTGAATTTAATATTGACATCCATTGATTTTCTTTTCTCATTCAGATTATGGTTTTCCTGATCTTTGGGATAACACACAATTTCCTATTTTATCCTGAGAATTGTGATTATTATATTAAGAGGTTTTTAATCCTATTTATATCTATTTTAGCCAGTAGTTGCCTGGTTCAGGTTTAGTGAGTGGCTTCTGGCTTCCTTTTCAGGATTTTGGTTTCAATTACAGCTTAGTTTCCACAGTCCTTGCAGTCTTATCTGGGTCTATTTATTCTTGTGCTTTTGGTTACTGAATTATCACTGCTGATCCTATCTGTGGAGACAGAAAACTGTCCATTTGGCTGCCCAGTGCTGCTGGGCTATCTTACATGAGGAGTTCAAGGACAGAATTTGTTCAGCATAAGTCTCTTTGTTCTTAAGGGTACAAAGCTTTGGGAATGCTGCCCCTGCTAGGATATCATTTTGTCTACTGCTGTCTCAGTACCACTGGGCTGAATTGTCTCAAAGTGATGTACTGAACTCAGTACATCAAACTCCTACCAGGACCAGGCTGTGAAGTAGGGACTGGGATGATTACTCATAACCATTTGCAGGCATAAAAAGGGCCACAGAAACGAACTAGATCCATCAGCTTCACTACCTACAAACTACTGGAAATGCAAAAGAATGTCTGGAGTAGAACCCAGCGTATTTTGAACAGGCCCTTCAGCTACTTTTGGTTATATAAAGTTTGAGACCAGCACAAATAATCTCTACATTTGAGTGAATGTAGCCTCCTAATGTCCATTTTCTGTTTCTCACAGTGATGTCTCAAGAGAGATTTTAAAACCAATACAAAATCTACCAAGTGCTAGAAGTCCATCATGAAGTACCATACATGCAATCAGAAATAACTGCACTACCACATAAGACAGTAATTCTCCCACTCAAAATGCCACTTAAAACTCCTATGTACTACTTTTATTCTTCATCCATGTTTTTATATTTTGTTTTGTTTTTGGTACCGGGGATCGAACTCCGGTCCTTGTTCTTGCAAGGCAGGCAGTGGAACCACTGAGCTAAATCCCCGGCCCCAATCCATGTTTTTATTGTACACCCGTATAACATAATATCTTGCCTAACTTTTGAGAGGAAATATACTATATTCATTAAGAATATGAGTCCAGAACAAAACTGTTTGGGTTCAAATCCAGCCTACATCACATCTTTTGTAACACCATTTTACCTCATAGAACTATATAAAAGTTATATAAGAATTAAATGAGACATACCTATAAGAAATGTAGAAAGAATTTCATAAATGAATGGCTATCATAGTCCATTTGTATTACTCTAACAGAATATTACTAGATGCAGCATCCACTTACAGCTTTGATCATCATCAAATCATCTATTCTAAAAATTTATCGCCAGTGATGTCAGAAAAAGCCATGCTAAAAAATGTGTCAAGGTTGTTCCTCAATCTTAAGGCTATAGTGATGACCCCATAGGCATATTCTCTCTCTCTCTCTCTCTCTCTCTCTCTCTCTGTCAGAAGTTTCACAAGTAGAGTTTTCATCTGGAAGGCAAAATCTGGCACACAAAATGCCACTGCAGATAAGGTGAAGTGACTGAAGGGATTCCCAACTTATCCTTTAAATCTCCATGCCTGAGAAAATTCAGACAGCCATTTTATAACCCTAAAATGAATGCCGAGTAAGGGACAGAAGTTTCCAGTCTTGTGCAGAGTAACAGAACTAGGAGATTCCATTCACTTCACTCACTGCATTTCAGTTTAATGAATGATGCCTGTTTTTGTTTTGCTTTTAGTAACACTCTGTTCTGCCTCACTGAAATCCATGTTTCAAAGGAAATGGAATCCATGTTTATAAGGACAGACAAAACTCAAAAAGATGTCAGCTAACGTGTATCTGATATTGAAAATGGACTGAAACTTCTAAGTTTCATTATTTTTTTTAATTCATTGAGTTTACTGGTACAATTTAGGTGTACACAATGATCACATTCATCATACAGAATTTGTACCTGTACCCAACATTATCTCCATTCTTATTTTTTTCCATTTCCCTAGTTTCATTATTTTTGAAGTTACATAACATTATAGATTTAAGTAGATGTTAGAGGTTTTCTCAGGATGTTTTCCCACGTTTGCTACACTAAATACTTTCCAGTTTATTTTCTATGTCCTTGCTTCAGATGATATCTAAAATTTTAATCACAACCCCAAATTTAGAATTGTATTAGTAACTATTTAGGATATAGATGACCACTGAGTCAAAAATATATGCTTTCTCTCCATTAGAGCAGGCTTTGGGGAATCAAATTGTGCTCTGAAAGCATCCACACTCCAAAGCTCTCACTGATTAGCAAGCACTTCCCTGCAGCTCACCACCCCCTAGGTGACAGAAAAAAGGGGCTCCTCCACCAGGCTTTCACAATACAATGAGAAGAACAGCCATCATTTCCCTCCCCCAGACAAATGTTTAGCAAATTTGCCTAATGTGTGAGAGTAATTTTAAAATATGCTAAAAATGATGCGCCCACATGTTTGTGCATTCATCCTGTGAGGGAAAAGTAGCCACACATTCTTAGCCAGCCTCTTCAATTCTCCTTTGAGAATTCCCTTGTGCTGTGGGCTCATTCAAAGACAGCAGGATAATTTTACACAGTTTGTCATTGTAGTCCAGGGAAGTTTATGGAAATGCTGCAGAAATAAACTACAAGTGGGAACCTGGCCTTCTGCCAATCTGCACTGTGCTCTGTCTCTTTCCTCTTCTAACAACAAGTTTTCCTCTTCAGCATTTCATTTTCTCTGTATCATATAAACATTTATCTCATCTAAGACATTTTAGAAATACAGACCATTGTAATTATACCCCAAGAAATATTAATAACTGATAATAATGTAATGGTTACACTCCATAGTGAGTATTAATACTAATTAATATTGTGCCAGGCACCTTTCTATAAGCTTCATATAGACTAACTCATTAATTTCTCACCATAGTGCACAAGGTGGAGTCTGTCTTTATGCCCATTTAACAGATGAGGACATCAAAGTAGGCCTAGCTGCAGAAGTGGAGCTAAAAACCCAGTACTGGAGTCCTGACTCTTAACCATTTGCCTACCCTCTTCCACCTCAGTGCTTTCCATGACCATCCTGGACAACTTTCTTTCCACAATGAACTTTAATGAATCAGGAAGAACTAATGAAAAATAGAACGGGGGGGTGGGGGTTCATTATATTTGGCTTAAACTAAATCTATTTTTATTTTTACTCATTTATTTATTTTGTGATGTTGGGGGTGAAACCCAGGGCATCCCACATGCTAGGCAAGTGCTATACCAGTGAATGACACCCCTAGCCCAGCAATTTATTTTATGTTACCCTAGTCTTACAGTATAAATGTCTAAGCAATTGTGCCGAAATTTTTTTTCAAAGATGAGTGTTCTCTTATACTTCTGATTTACACAATCAGACTCAAGCAATACATACTACAAAATGGTATTTAGAAATACAAAATGTGGTACTTATTTGACTGGAATGTCATTCACATTATAATCATAAGGATTTTCTTTAAAGGGAATCCTGTAAAGTCTCCATGGATTGAAATAAATTTTAAGGTAAAGAAAGACAGAGGAAATGGGAGAGAGAGAGAAAGAGAGAGTGAGAAAAAGGGACAGGGAGAGGAAAATAGAGAGACAGAAACAGAGACAGAGACACCTCCTAGAAAGGACCCAAAACAGCTATCCACAAATTTAATATCCAAGACGGATCAAGAGCCTATTGCATTGGGGAAGGGATTAGATGTTATGTGGCACTGACACCTCAGAATGAAAAGTGTAAGAGTTGTTGAGAAATATCTTTTTTGGCTTTCTAAAGGCAATATTTCAAGATTTAAAGTACTACCAAACAGATATAAACTAATATAAACACATAGTTACATGCTATGCTTACAGAGACCAATTATGCAATATATAATATTTCCTGTACAAGAGTTTCCATTTCTTCTCACCATTTCCTCTCTAACAACACCTGAAGGTGGCATTTCATGCATCAGCAGCCAGGCCTGGGACATACCTGTGCATGGGGCTGGTGTGGCTTCCGCACCTCCATCACAGGGGCTCTCTGATGTCCAAGAGGCAGCAGCATAGCTCCTTGTCCTCCCCTCACTCCCAGGTCCTGATGTCTATCATTATTCCAGAGCAGAGAAAAGAGTTGTAAGATTTTATCTTTAAGAGCTACTCACTAAATCAGAAATGTTAATTTAAGATACAGAAACATTAATCCACAAGGAAACCTAATCTCGAGAAATAAAAGACAGCAGAAATAATCCAAAATATTTTATCTTAGCAGAGGCATTTGAGTAAAATACATGAGATTATATGAACTTTCAGGAATGATTTAAATATTAAACTTGATTTATTTACACTCTATTCTAATTAGGAATGCTGAAGCCATACCTTCGCAGAAATCATCATCCTGGTTCAATTATCACTGCATAATGAACCATCTCAGAATATAAACACTTCAAATATCTTCAATATTAGGGGCCATGAGTCTGGCTGCATCATGGCTTCTTCAGCTGACCCTGTCTGCATCATTCTTGGAGCAACATTCCATTAATGGACATTCTCAGTAGTATGCCTATCAAAAAATAGAATCAATAATTAATAACCTTCCAAAACAGAAATAATGAGGCTGAAGTGGGTATCCCATTAATCAAATCAAACTTTTAAGGGGTAAATTATATTAATTCTGTATAATATCTTCCAGAAGATAGACACAGAGAGGGACTATGTCTTAGTAGCTCATTCTATGAGGTCAGCATTACTCTAATACTCAAATCAGACAGAAATATTACAAGAAGAGAAAACTATACACCAATACCTCTCATGAGCATACATGAAACAAAACTCAACAAAATATAAATTATATAGCACAATGAAGGGCATTGATCTCTGATATGGAAGACTGGTTCAACACTGATAAACCATCTAATATAACCTATCATATCAGCAGGCTAAAGAAAAAAATTACATGATCATACCAACAGATGCTGAAAAAAGCATCTGAAAAATCTAAACACTCACTCATAATAATAAAAAAAAAACACTAAGTATACTGGAAATTGAATTGAAAATCCTCACCTTGAAAAAACATCTACAAGACACTGATGGATACCACCACTGTGCATGATAAGAAGCTCAAATTTTTCTTGCTGAGATCAGAAATAGGGCAAAGATTTCTCTTCTCACAATTTTTCTTCATTATCACAGTAGAAGTTGTAGCTAATGTAGTAAGATAAGAAAAAACAAATGAAAAGTATACAGGCTTAGAAAGGAGAAACAAAACTGTCTTTGCTGTTGACAAGATTGTCTACACAGAAAAGCCAACAAAATCAACAAAAAAAATCTTAAATGAATAAATAATTGCACAAAAATTGCAAGGTATAAAATTAATATACAAAAATCTATATCTTCCATATATACAAGAAATTAAATGGAATATGAAATTTAAAACATATTTATATTAGCTCCAAAAATGAAATCATCAAATAAAAACCTAACAAAATATCTATGGAATTTACATAAGGAAAACTATATAACTGTGATGGAATAAATCAAAGAACAAAATAAATGGGGAGATATTTCACATTCATACAGAGGAAGACTCAATATTGTTAAGATGTTAGTTCTCACAACTTGCTCTCTAGATTTAATGAAATTCCAACAAATCTCCAGCAAAGTCATTAGTAGATACCAGAAATTTATTTTTGAAATTTATAAGGTAAGTCAAGGACCCCAAATAGTCAAAAAAATGTTAGAGAAAAAATAAATAGGAGGACTCAAAGTACTCCACTTCAAGAGTCTCTATAAAGCAATAGTAATCATGACAGTAGGGTGCTAGAGAAATAATAGACAAATATATTCATGGAATGAAAATAGACCCACATAAATATGGCCAACTGATCTATAATACAGGAACAAAAGTAATGCCACGCAATGAGCAAACAGTGCTGTGACACCCAGATACCCTCACCATCAAGCAGATGAGCACACATGGAAGGAGAGTCTCAGAAAGAAGGAAGTGAAAAGGAGAAACAAAAATACTTGTAGAAATAATGGCTGAACACTTAGATATTTCATGCAAAACACTAGTCTATACATTTTCTCTCTTAACAAATAAAGAGACATATCCATTCCTAGACGTATCACAGTCAAACTGGAAAGCTAGAGAATCTTAAGAACAGCAAAGAAAAACTCATGTACCAAGGGCCTGCTATGAGACTGACCACTGACTTCCACTCAGAAACAGTGGGAGGAAAGTGGTAGGGTGACATATTCAAAGAGGTTAACGATAAAACAATTTCAAACAAGAATTCCAACTCCAGAAAATCTATTCTTTAATAATGAAGAAACAGCAAGCATATTCCCAGATCAAGACACCTGAGATAATTTGTTGCCAGTAGTTCTGCCTTACAAGAAATAATGGCAAGAAAAAGTTTATTCTTGGATCACTTGTCAGAGGGTTTATGTATGTACGCACACGTATGTGTAAATTTCCCTAAAATTTCTTCTGCAGTTTAATATTCATTGATTTCAGAAGCAAAAATACTAGAACCACAAAATAATATTATTTCAAAGTTTGTTTCAACTGTTATACATATTTAGAGTTGTGAATTTTTAATAATGTATTGATTTAGTTTTTCTGGAAGTTCATACCTTCTAGCTAAAGATTGCAAAATAACTAAAAAAATTATACAAAATTTGTTTTATGCTAGTTAAGTATAAAAGAAGTTCCAGTTCTAAACAAGTATATGCAATGCAAGAGGGAAAGTTAGAGTTGTAGAAATTGGAGCTCTTGAGCATGATAATTCCTGTGAAATACAACAATTCCAGAAACAACTGCACATTTCCCGTATCTATGAAACTGATAGGGCTCAGGCAGACATCCCCAAGGAAGCAACAAGACCTGGGATCCTGGACAAACACGCTGCCAGGTTGAGCAGGTGGAGTTGGAAGGAGGGATCTGAAAGACCCAAGCAGAGCAGGAATTTGCTGAGGTGGGGGTGGAGGAGGGGCAGTGGCTGGGCTGTCTCCTGCCGCCCCTCCCCCTCACTCAGGAGTCCTTTGTGATGAGGACTGGGTCCCAACTCCTGTCTTCAAGGGACGTCAGTTGCCTGAAGGCCACAGTACTGCTCAGATGATGAAGAAGTTTCTCTTTCTTTCAAAATGTATTCTTAATGCCTGGAAGTGCCCCAGTTCTACCTGGGCAACAGATGCTACTCTTGCCTTTGAGTATGGATTGGTACACTTCCTTCTATTAATCCCTCAGCTCTGGATTAATCAGTCTACCCCAATAACTGGGAAAAAGACCACCAGAAAGGTAAGAAACTCTTGGTCAAACCAACAGATGTTGATTCTTTCCTTTTTCTACTCTTCTTTCCACTTTTTCAAATCAAGTACAGAAATTTACGAGAGGGGAAATCTCAGAAAAGATTACAACATAATTCTTTTGGCACAAGTCTCAGGGCAGGGGTGCGGGTGGGCACTAGGAACACCTGTCTCAGACTCTCAGATCATCTGTGTGTGAGCTGGAGGTGCCAGGGTAAAATCAAACACTGACTCTGCGGCCAAAGACTGGATTCCCAAGAAAGCTGGGGACCTCTGGGGAAGGACAGGGTCCAGCACTGGGTGCCTTTGGGCTTCACCTATTCTCAGTGCTGGTCTGATCTGTGGGCTGTACTGAGCCCCTGAGGGCTGGCTGGAGTTGCTTCTGGCTTCAGGAAGCAAAATCCTATCTGGCTGAGAGGCATGGTAGATCTCAGCCTAAGCAGAGGAATTGTGACTCAAGACATGCATGGTAGAGCTCACAGAAAAAGTCTTTTGTGATTTCCAAACAAGAAAAACTGAAAATATTTTTAGCCACTTTAAACATGGGCTGTTTGCTAATGGGAAAAACTCAAAGTGTTCAGGAAAATGGTCTATAAAGTCCAGGGAGATGAGCAGGAGAACTGGGCCAAAGCTTCTCTTTCTTCCTTGTCTTTTAGCACCACGTGCAGAAGAGATGGAGCAAGAGCAAGAAGAGCTGTACTCTGAAAGGTAAGGATCTGTCCTTCCACCCCAGGGGTGACCTGAGCTCACCTGTCCTCAACTCTGAGGATGTCAGGTGGGGAGGCCTGTGTGGGCGGCTCCTGGGAAGGAAATCTGAACTGGGGACACTTCTCAGGCTGTGTGCTTGTAAGGAAGTTGTGATGGACAAGGAAATGAGGAGTGTACAGAAGGAAACAGTGTGAGTGGTGGTGGAGAAATACTGCCTGGATTTGGAGAGGGATCTCTAAGGTCTGTGGACAGCTTGTTCACTTCACTAGAGCAGCCTCCTCTTTAAAATGACCTGCTCTTTCACCCTACCAAAGGTGATTGTAGGGGTTGGTGGTTGTGGAAGCCTCTCCCTGTGCCTTGTTTACACTGTCAGAGGCCATGTGTCCTTGGGCACAGACGCTTGGACTCCAGTTCTAACCCTGTGTGGTGTCCTCTTAGGAGCATCCCACTCAAGACCCTCTCTTCTCCAGTGTGACCTACTTTTCATTTCTGGCCAGGACAGCCTGAATGAAGTGGAAGACACTCAGGACCCAGCTTTACTTCTACAAAGGTGAGGGACTTCTCACTTCTGGGTTGTTCTTCCTGCCAGGATCTCTGATGTCAACTGAGGGGGAGCGGAGGACTCCAAGTTCCAGTGACTCACGACTGAAGCTCTTGGAGGGGGTAACAAGAGCCTTCTGACGTTGGGAGGACATGGAGGGTCTGTGGGCCACAAGTGGCCATCCCTGCCCATCCTGCCTGGCTTGCTGGCTCAGTCTGCTGCTGTCTAAAGCTTGTGCCTCCTGTTTCCTACAGTCATCTACAGGAGTTCTGTGACAAAGGAAGAGTTCAGCAACACTCAAATGTAGCTGTCTCAGGTGAGGTGTTCAAACCAGGGCCTGCTAGAGCCCACTAGCCACATGGACACTGCATGGAAGATCCTACTCCTACCACCATGTCCCTGTAGGCTTCCCTGGCTCCTAAGAACCAGCACCTTCTGCCTCTGGCCTCCAGCCCATCAGGAGGAGCTCAAAAAGACCAGTTCATCTGCATGAGATACCTGCTGGGCAGTGACCCTCAGAGCTTCCTTCCTAGCAACTCCTATTTACCATCTCTCAACTCGGCCATCTCTGGCCCTGTTCACTCTCAAGGTTTCATTTTGTTCTTCTCATGGTCATGTGCAACTGATAACACCTTACTTTTCACCACCTTGGCACAGGGCAAAGTCCAGCAAGGACATCATTCCTATAACCCACCACGTGCTTTGTTCTGGGGAGACCCCCCCCGCTGGCAAGGAGAGGTTTGGGGCCTCTCTTTCATCAAGCCAAATAGCCAGAAGCTGCTGGTGATACTAATCACTGAGAGAGTGGAAATAATAACCTGTGAGTCTACCCTATCCCCTGGATTTTCTGGGGGTCATGTTAAATCCATTGGTGACAAGCAAGGTACCATGGCACAGCCCTTCTGGAATGTAAATGGCCAACCAGAGTGGCTTCTCAGCTTTCACCAGCTCTCTTACTGCATGGTCTTGGATGGCCATTTAGATCAGAGATGCAGCCAGCTCTCCTGGAGCCTGCTCTGTATGTACAGTGAGTCCCTGGTGCCTACTGGCTGCATCCCCAAAAGGCCTTCCTCTTCAGGACTTCCATCTTTTAAATTTATTGAAGCTCATACCCATTTCCTACTTCAATCTCAGGCTGTGGGAACTCTACAGATTTCCCACACAAAGACCTTACTCTCCAATGTGAACCAACTCCAACTTTTGACCCAAAATGTGCCCAAATTTCAAGTCCAGACTCAGGCCCAAATCCTATGCTCCCTCCCAAACCGACTACCTTCTTCCCCATCCCAGATTAGGGCCTGTAGAACAATATCCCAGCCAAAGGAACAGTCCTTCATCTCAATGGAAGATAAGTACCTGGAGTGGCACTTGCAAAAGTCACTGAAACAGAGAGTAGTTTTAACCTCTGTGCTTCAGAAAGCTCAGGAAGCCATTAGCCAATCTATTCTCAATCATCTTCAGTGCAGCCAGGCTTCCCAGACCCCTAAGTCAGCCTCCATATTCACTGTGTATCCTAAGAACCAGACACAGGAGAAGCCAGGAGCCATACAGCCCTTACCACCTGCTTGTGAGAGCAGCAAAGGAGTTCTGGACACAGGGTCTGGGAACTCCCACAGCATCTTTTTAAAAGGCTTAATTATCTTCCCACTAG